GAACTCACAACAATCCTCCTGCTTCAGCCTCCCGAGTGCTGGGATTACAAGTGTGCACCACCATGCCCAGCTTGTGTGTAGGATATATATATAAATATTATGCCATTAACTATAAGAGACTCAAGTATCTGCAAACTGGGTATCTTCAGGGTACTGGAATCAATTCCCTGTGGATACCTAAGGACGACTGTAAATCTCACATTTTAAACTGAAAGAATCTAGCAAGCCTGGACAGTATCTATAAGGAAAAGGACATTATTACTTGTCTTCGTTTCCTTTCTGTTGCTGAGACAAAATACCTGATAAACAACATAAAAGGGAAAAGGTTTATTTTGGCTCATAGCTTCAGAGGTTTCAGTTCATGGTTTGCTAACTCCGAGGCACAAACAGCACTGAGAAAGGGGAGAGTCCAAGAAAAAACACACCTGCCAAAGGCACGCCCCCAGGGACCCACTTCCTCCAAGTAGGCCCCACCTTCTAACATTGGTGCACTGGGCATCAAACGCCTAATGTAAGAGTCTTTAGAGAACACTTTATATTTAAATCCCAACACTAGTGAACGTGCTGCCAAGACAACAGTCATATACTAAGATTGCCTCTGCTACCTGGGGATTATATAGTTACCCTATAATTAGCAACATGGAATTAACTCTGAGAAAACAGATCAAAAGCCAGCTAAGTTTTGGAAGGAACAGCATTGGCCAAAATCTCCCGAGTGTTACTTATAAGCCTCTGACTATATGATCCTTAAAACAATGCTCAAGCCCTCCATAAGGCAAGGACAGAAAGTAGGAAATAAAGGGACCTATCCCCCAATGTCCACACAAGTGTGACCCTGGAGAAAACTGGACATGGAAGAAACTTCCAGAAGATAAATCAGGTCCTAGAGAACAACAAACACAGGAATTCCTCCTGAAGATCAAGATCAGAGTCTAAGCAAGGGACGTCTTTTACTCTAGCCTCGCATGCTTCAAAATGCCTCCTGCAACCCATATTTTGTGTCATTGTCAGTATTTGGAATCCCAGAAGTTCCTTGGCTTTAGGAGATCAAACACAAATTTGTAATTAGCTAACTGGGCCTGTCCATAATGCAATAAATTATAGACACTGCACATAAAGTGATCATGGTGAAAATAAACCTGAAAAGTCTTCTATAAAGATTACCAAAGTGATGGCCGGGAGGCCCTGATTCACATCCAACTTTGGCTATTAACTGTGTGACCCTGGATAAATCATGACTTCTCAGGACTTCAGTTTTACCATTTGTAAAATGAGTAAGAGGGATGCCTTCCAATTCCATAATTCTAATTTAAAAGTCTTGACCTCTCTGAGCCAAAATAAAACTACAAAAAAAAAAAAAACCCTTTATAATGGAGAATCCATAATAGACTAGTTGGTCTGGATTTTCAGCACAAGCAACTCAGCACAATTTTAAAAGTTATATTGGCAAGAAAAATTCTGGTACACTTCCATTTTTTATTTTTCTATATGATTTTGGTTCATTATAGTAGCATAAGAAATAAAATATAATTTTCTTAGTGAGAAAGACATTTATCTTCTGTCTCATTAAGCTTTAGAACTAATTCAAAAAGAAGGAAAATTTTCACTTCAAATTCCATAGTTTTGGGGCCAGGGATGTAGCTCAGCAGCACAGTGCCTGCCTGGCAAGCGTAAGCTCCTCAGTTCGATTCCCAGTACTATTACAAAAAATTCCATAGCTTTATATTTACAGACTAAAATCAGAAAGGTCAAACTGCATTGGGAGAAGACTTTTAATCAAAAATACCATAACAACACATTTTATCAGCTACACAGTAAAGAGTAATATTCACTGAAACCTAAAAATAGTATTTTTAAAGTAACTAAAATTTGAAAAATATCTACTGCTGGGCATGGTGGCACACGCCTGTCATCCCAGCACTCAGGAGGCTGAGGCAGGAGGATTGTTGCGAGTCAGCCCAGGCTACAAAGTGAGCTCAAGGCCAGCCTGAACTGCACATCAACACCCTGTCTCAAAAAGACAAAAAAAAAAAAAAAAAAAAAAAGTCTACTAAATTTCAACTCTTGATACTTCCTCTAGTTTCTGGTAGAAAATTTTATATTAGAACTTTGTACTCTTCACTGGTGAAATATAAGACAAAAGCTAGTATTGTATATCTATAGTTTGTTATTCATAATTACCCAGGTTTATACATGTAGTAAAACTAAGGGCCATGTTAAGAGACTAGCACTCAAACTTTGTCACTTCAAATCACTGTGTATTGGGACAGATAAAATAACAAACCTATTGCAAACCCTTATTATGTTTTAATGTTTCCATCTGAGTACTAATGTCGAGAAGTCTCTTATTTGTTCTCATTCAAAATACTTTGTGTATGACGTTTATTTTGCCTGGTGCCCTACCAGCAGAGCAGACTTGCATTTATCTCCAGTGTTTACTGTGCCTGTGTTCCTGCGTAAATTCTCTTCAGTTTTCACTTTTCCGGAGAATAAAGCCCCTCAATCCTGAGGTTTGGGGAAGATGGTCATCTGGTTAGGGTACAAGGCCCAGAGGTACAACTGCTTCTTTGGCAGACTTCCTGTAGCTTTGGCAGCAGGCCTCCTCTGCCAGTCTCCGGGTAGCACTGTCATTCATCTCTGTAGGTGCTGAGGTACTCGCTTTCCTCTGTTCCACTCTGTGAAAGCATCATATGATTTCTGTCTTAAGACTTTAGGGTTAGAGATATGGATGTCACCTACTTCTCATCAAATAAACAGCTACAATTTTTGTTTCTGTTTCCTTTGCTTTGCATTAATTTTTTTTTTAATTCAAGAAAGCAGAAAGTTGTTTAACTGCCATATTAAAACCAGAAATTACGTCTGAATTCTTCCATGTACCATGTTCAAAGAGGTGAAGTCCTGGCAGTTTCGACCTGCTGAGTACACATTCACGTCTCCCTTCTTTTAGTCTCTCTGGAGAAAGCCTCTCCTGTTCCATGAGATCCCAGTGGGCTTGCAGTCCCTGGGCACTGTCCTTCTACTACAGCACACGGGAAACATGGACCAGGATGGCCCACCGGCACACACCATGCCCGGGCCACAGGTTGTGCGGGGGCCACACATGGGCCAGAGTCAAACCACACCTCTGCAGCAGACAGCTGGACATCGTGCCTAACACGTTCTCTTCTGCTTGTGACCGCTAACACAGAATGGTAATCCTGAGCTGCTAGTGGTCATCTTACTGACCAAAGACGTATCTGAAGAATGACAAATAAAGAAACCAGCAGAGCTGAGAGGGAGTCCAGATGAGAGTATTTGAGCTCCTGGCTGCAGCCATGCTTGAGAAACCAGAGCAACACAACAATCAAGTTCGCTTTCCTTTCATACGCTGTTCTGAACTGGCTTTCTTTCACTTTTGAAGGGAGTCCTGATGGTTACAAAAGTGAATCTAAATGTTCCAATTAGTAAAACTCAGGCTACAAAACACTCATTGATAAAAATTAAATAACCTAACTCTTCTTTCAAATAAAACCACAAATCAGAAATAGTATACACATCTTTCCACCATTTAAGATTCATTCCTATACATCACTTTTCCTTCCTTCCTTCCTTCCTTTCCTTCCTTCCTTCCTTCCTTCCTTCCTTCCTTCCTTCTGTTCTGTATTCAAGGTTTTCCCCCACGTATCACTTTTAACTATACTTAATTTATCTATGGTTTATTTCATCATGCTATCTTAATGTATACACTTTGTATATACATTTAAATTATGTATGAATATGAGCTAATAATAATGATAATAACAGTTTGACTTACTGAACACATAGTATGTGCCAGGCACTATTCTAAGTGGTTTTTTTTTAACTTTTAACTCATTTTGTCTTCAATTCAACTTATGCAGGAGGGGTCATTATCTCCTGTTTTATAGATGAAGTTACTGGGGTACTAATGAATCAACTTGTCCAAAATCACAATGAAAATCTAAATTTTTCAGGCACTCCATTTCAAGTATTTCTACTGTTAACCATGGAGAAGATATGTACTTCACAAACAAATGCACCATCTGTTAGGGTTGGTTTGTGCTCCCCAAATAAACCTTTGAAGTCTTGACCCCTGGTACCTGTGAATGTGGCCATGTTAGGAAACAGTCTTTACCAATGGAGCAAGGGGGCCACTTGGTTTTTGGAGCTGAGTCGCAGCAGTCCTAAAAAACAAACATCCTCTTACCTAGACTGAAATATGCCTCTAACCAACTGTTACTTCCAATTTCAGCATAGATGGCAAACTAACATTTAACTTTCATCTTAATTCTATTAAAGAAAAACAAACCTGGGGGTGGAGCTGTGGTAACTGAAAAGCACAGCCCTCCATCACTGCCTCTATTCAGTGTCAGCTGATGACGCCCATGAAGAAGGGTCGCACCAAAAGTGTGAGCTCTTCCAGTTTTAGTGAAAACTAGCAATCTGAATTTGTGCATTTAAATTAGTTAACAACAAATCATTTACCAGTTTTAAAAAACACTACTTAATAATTCATTGGTGTTTTAAAAACATAGGACAAAACACACTGCAGGTCAAACAAAACCCATTTATGGACCAGATGTGACTACACATTCAGCTCTCTGCAACCTCTGCTTTATCTGATTTCTTACTTTTTATTTCCCCTCACACTTCCTTGACTTCACCCTAACCGGAGCATCCTTCTACCAGATCTGGCAAGCAGGCCCCATGCTGGCCCTGTGAGCCACGTCGAAATCAGCACCTTAGGATTCCACCCTCTGGGTGTACTTAGTGTGGCTGACAGAGAAGAGCCGCGTACACTTCAGAAGCAAATGTGTGTGTGTGCGCTCTGGACCCACGTGAAGGCTAATCCTGCTCCTCTATTCCGTCAGTTGGGCTCTGAGTAGAAGAATTCAGAGCATTAACTGGGTAAGTCCCTAGGACACGACTGGTACCTTGCAGGCTCACCGCCACTTCACACAGCACTGCCCTTATAATTTAGTAAGTTCTCCAAATTCCTTACATATACTTGAAGGACGCACAGTGGATTATAGTAGCTCATTACTGTCTTTCAGTACCCACCACCCTATAACCTATAAAGGTTGCCCAGGCACATGTAGAAGCAGGTTTTTGAGAAGTTTTGTGAAAACCATTTTTTAAAATGTGACTTTATACTTCAGATTTATTCTGAAACTTCAAAAACTTTAAACACTTTTCATCTTCTGAGAATGTTAACACCAACTCAAGTCCAACAGCTCATATTGCTATTTAGTGCCTTGCAGTCCTCCCTGGCACTGAGAACCCACCAGAGTTCAGACCTCTGAGATGCCATAGGAACAAATGACTGCTTCTGGTAAGTAAAAGGAGACACTTGATACGTTGCCAAGACTTGCTCCGCTACACTGAGATATTAAGTGCAGCGTGAGGAAGTTTGGCATACCATAGCATTTGGGACTTGCAGAGTGACTAACATTATTTTTGGAAAGTTTGTAGCAATGCTAAGAAGTAAAATACCACAAAATCTGTACAAGACATTTCATTAAATATTTGCTTTTTTTTCTTGAATTAAAAATCTCTCAAATTTCCACTGGTTTTTTAACTACAAAATATGGATACTCACCAGCTTATCATTCCCACAAATACCCTATGTGATCAATAGAGTTAAGTCTAAAAATATATATGATAGATAAGAAAACTGAAGCTCAGAAGCACTAAATAACTTGTTCAAGGTTGTCTGTGATAGAGGTGAAACTTGTATTCAGACCTCCTGATTCTGAGTTCATTGATCTCCCCCTACAAATAAAATTCATGCAGAATTAAAGACCAAGCTGCTTAGACAAACAGACCACCAGACTTGCAATCAAAACTAATTCCTACTGCTGCCTTTAATTTTCAACTCAGACCGGTTTTCTAAATCTCTCTAAATCCCAATTTGCTCATCCGGAAAATGGAGTCAGAACGATAAAATACATGTGAAGCACAAGGTACAGAGCAGGCACTGGATAAATGCTAGTCCCCTTCTCCAATTCTCCTACCGGATCCCTCAATACTAAGTAAACCGTCCATGCTCCGCTTACACATTGGAGTGAACAGCGAATAAGTAAATATCTGTTTATGCAGATATGGATGAAAGAATAAATTCACTGACACAGGCACAAAAGATCACAGTAGAAATTGTTGTCATATATACACTATTACAGAATAGCTGAGAAAGTAGTTATTTTTTTTTTTAATTTATGATGTTGAGTCTTTTCAAAGGAGATAGGTCATGTCAAAACTCCATGCTTTGAACTTTCTCTCTGCTGTCTAATAAATATGAGTCATTGTCTCCAAACATTAAAAATTCAAAATACATGAAAGAGATATGGAAGGTTTCCAATTAATGGTGTGACTTGGGATTTCCAAATGTGGGTACCTCAGTAGTTAGCATGTCCTACTTAGGCTAGAAGCAGGAGTTTCCAGTGTCATTCTGGTATGTTGATGCCACAGCTGAAATCCTGACTCCTTTAAGACTCCGCTCTGCTGGCTCAGCTGTCCCTCTGGAGGAGGGTGGGTCACCAGCACAAGACAGGACTGAAGAGAAGGAAAGGGGCGACACTGACTACATAAGTGGGCAGGGAGCAGAGCATTAGCTCAGAATAAGGACAGGTGGCCTATTCAGGAGCCACGCATAGGGCTGCCAACAGAAAATTAAGCAATTATCAAATTTAATGCTAAAATAAGAAAATGCACAGCATGTTTTAGAACATTTCATCAAAGTTCAATTTAATGCTAGAGAACTGTGTGCCAAAAACTACTTTATACATGTGACTCTGCACTTGGTACAATCCTTCAGAACTGAGGGCTGTGTTATTGCATATGTGGGAGATTATTAAAGGCTTTGTAATGATTACGTTAAAGGTCATATTCCTTATACACATAACTTCACTTACTATTACAAGCTAGGTATGTACATGAGTAGACAATGGTCTCTTTCCATTAAATGGAAACTGGCTGAAATTACTGTTTAAGTTGCTGGGTTGTAAGAGAAATGAGATCAAATTAATGAGGGTGAAGTTGTATAATCAGTTTATAGAACAAATCATGTCGAGGTCAAGGCTGACATCACCAACTCCCACACATTTAAGCCACTTAAAAATGTGACTCTTCTCTTTTTCCACACTACCATTTGCTCTAATTCAGGCTGTTTCTTATTTCTCTCCCATTCACGTGTAGTTGAGGAATCGTTTGTCTTGGCAAACACCAATTCAATCATGTCACTCGTCTCAGAACCCTCTGAGGGCTTCCCACTGCTTGAGGAACAGAGGCCCAAATACTCAGCAGGGCATTCATGCTCTCCTAAATTTGGCCCATCTTTCTAATTCAGGAGACTTCAACCCTGGCAGAACATCAGAACCGCTAGGGGAGCTTTTAAAAAATAAATAGGCTTAGGTCCCATGTCCCAGAAATTCTATTTAACAGTTTTGGAGTAAGATCCAGGGACTTATGGCTTTAAAAATATCTGGGCGATTCTTATGTACTGCCAAGGCTGAGCCACTGATCTAATTTTCTCACCTATTATTTCACCCAACACGCTCCAGCCAGAAATGACCCCTGTCTGTTTGTGTTTCCAGCCCTGTGTTCAAGCTGTTAATCCACGCTGGAATATCACTTCCTCTTTAGCTCTTTATGTACATTTTCACCATTCTTCCAAAATGAAGCAAAATCCCATCACTATTTTTAGAACCTGCCAAATCATAATAATGTTCCCCTTCTGATAATTGCAACAGTACTCACTGCCTTTATAAAGTATTTTATGGCAATTAAAAATAGAGTTCACTGTGAATATATTTATTTCATATTTTGCTCACTGTACTTCAGGCCCCTGAGAGAAGGCAAACTTTTTGTGACATCTTTTGTTCCCATTCCCTATACCTCACCATTGGCAACAATATTAAACATAAAATAGATACTCATGTGCTTTACTTAGGATGACTGGATAAATTAAATTCTCCAAAATTTATGAGGTGTTTTTTCTTGCAGCCTGACAACCTAAATTGTCAGCCTTGAGGGTTGTTTATGCACATACTGACATGTTTTTCACCAGAAGCATCATTATGCCTGTGTAGAAATGATAATCACTTGTTCATAAAAACTGACGTGATGTCAAAATATAGGGATGATACCAATAAATGTGGGCTTTTCCGTGTAGACACAAGTATTTTCCACGTTTATCTATTTTCCATGTATATATATTTTTTCTGCTGTTTATATAACAGTAAAAAGGAGAAGCAGTAAAATAGTTCCTGATCTGTCAACATGTGACTTACGAAAGACCCACCCATGTGAAAAGACCGCTGAAACCTCATCCTAACCCACATGGGAAGGACCAGACGAACAAGTGTCCTTTTGCCCTCAATGTAGATGACATGAGAATATCAGAGACTGACAGGTAAACTGAAAACTGAAAAGCTACTGGTGGAAGAGTATCCAGCAGGTATCCCAGAGAGGTCCAGTCTTGTTTCTATAGCATGGGAGATGTACTTTCTTATCCACAGCTACAGTTTCTCTGCAACACAGCTTTGTACACAGTGGTAGCCTGTAGTCAAAGTAGCACGGGTATTTATGAGTTAGTCTTTGGAGAGCTGGCTGAGAACCTAACCACCATTTCTGTCACTGTTTTGGTGGTAAAATCTTTCAGCATTCCAAACAACAGAATTAGATGTGAATTTATGGAACAGAGTTTTTTTCTTAGTACTTTCCTAGGGTAAGATGGCAGCCAGGAGTGGATAACAAGAATGCACAGCTGCCGTGAATGTGGACCATATGCGTCTGGAAGGATGAAAGACAGAGGGATAATGGGAGAAAAAGCCAAGCACATTCTTAATGTAGTAAACAAGCATTTTCTTAGCACTATGAAAGGCTACAGTGAATTCTGCAGAAGACAAAAATTAGACAAAATCTTTTGTTTTATAGCTGTACAACCTAAACAGAAGATATTACAGAAACAAATATGAGAATAAAGTTTCAGGGTAAAATGTACTGTAACCATGATTAAAGCAAAATATTAGATGCAGTGAGGAGAGAAAGAAGGAAAGAGCCAGCACTTCCAGCTGGAGTAATCGGGGACAGCTTCACCAGAGGCTTGCAAGGGACTACAGACACACAGACAGCAGAAGGGAGCAGGGAGCACTGCGTTCAGCAGAAACAGTGCAAACCAAGAGAG